ATCCTTCCTCCATCTCTCTCTCCTTTTCTCTCTTCCCTTCACACCCTCCTTTTCTCCCTTCCTTGTATTTACTCTTCCTTCCTTCCTTTTTCTCTCTGAGGATTGAACCCAGTGGAAAAACCAATTCCCAGGACCTTCACATTAAGTTGCATTACCAGCCTTTTTCTTTTTGTATGGAAACCAGTTGCTTCAGTAACTGGTTACTTTGCATTAAAATTATTTACATTAACACATTGAATATGGTATTATAATCGTAAGGAATTAATCTACAATTTAAGAATTTTTCACTTGTAATATCTAGTCTGGAAAATATCAATAGATGACATTTACCACATGAGGTCCTCAAGGACAGGTTTGGGTCCATCCTCAAAATTCAGTTTTTGGGGGCTGGGGATTTAGCTCAGTGGTTCTGCCGCTGGCCTCACAAGCGCAAGGACCCAAGTTCAATCCCCGGTACCAAAAAAAAAAAAAAAATTCAGTTTTTGTCTGGTACTGAGAATTGAATCCAGGGTCTTTGCACTTAGCTATGCACTCAGCCCTTTTTAGTTGTATTCTTTTGGGGTAGGATCTTGCTAAGTTGCTAAGTTGTCCAGGCTGGGCTTGAATTTATGATCCTCCTGCCTCAGCTCCCCAAAGTGCTGAGATTACAGACATGTGCTGCTACACCAGCCTAGGAAGTGGGATTTTTGAGAGGTAATTTTGAGTGCAAACCCCTCATAAATGAGGTCAGTTTCCTTAAGAAGAAACACAAGAAAGATGAAGATAAGGACGCAAGGAGAAGATGGGCATCTGCAAACCAGACACTTGGTCTGCTGGTACCTTGGTCCTTGACTTTCCAGCCTCAAGAACTGTGGAAAATAAATGTCTGGTGTTGAAGCCACAGGCTGGAAATACTGTTATAACCAGTATGTTATAACCAGTTTTCTGGGAGAATTTTTAAACTATCTTCTAAAGGAAAGCCACGGGGTGAGAAAAGTTTCCACACATAAAACTACAGAGACTCTTATGAAATGTGAAGGTGAAGTCTTCTTAACTTAGTAGAAAAGTGAGCAAGTTTCAGTAACATGAGCAGTGTGTTCTGAGCCATCTGGGCGGTGCTCATTTAATGACCATGGCTCCCTCCACCAGAAGGTGCAAAACTAAACCCCTGACAGCACCAAGTGTGAGTGAGAGGACTGAGCAAGCAGAGAGAACGCTCTTGTACTTTGGGGAGAGCATAAAATAGTACAGTCAATACAGAAAACTACTTGCAATTTTCTACTAAAAGTGAACATACACCTTCATGACCCAGCAATTCCACCCCTAGGCACAGACCCAGCCTCTGTTCGTCAGTAGACATGCACAGGTTTTTTTGTATTGATTGTGGCCAATCTGATAACTGAAAACAGCATCTCCTTGGGGATTTAATTTGTATTTCTATTATGGCTGATGTACGACATGGATGATCTTGTGTCTGAGATTTCTTATCATCATCAATACCTAGTAATACAATCAACACTTGATCTATCATACTAAGATCACACACATGTTAAGATTTAAATACAAATTTCACCAGAAATACAGGGATGAGGCTCATGACAAGTGACACTGAGAACGCAGGTGAGCCACATCTAGCTTCTATCACAATCTCAAAGACAATGCAATTTCTTCAGGAAATATATACAGTACGATGAACAAACATGAAGAGAAACATAAGTAGACTAGAAACGACTCAACATACTTGTTAGATTAGAATATGTGAACAGACTGGATCTTAGTCTGATAAAGTGCTGAAGCTAGAATTTTTAAAAAGCAAAAATAATCTTGCAAAAAACCCAGTATATGCATCTTTATAGGATAATTGAATATTACAAAAGTGACAATTGGGCTCTATTATGTCAGACCATAAAAAAAATCACCATTTTGTAGATAAAAATGGCAGAATAGTTACATCTTGTATAAATTAAACGCCATCAAAGTGATAACATTAAGAGAATCGCTGTATAAGTTTGTAAGACAATTGTATGAAAATAAAATATAAAACATTTCTAGAATAGAAAAGCCTTCAGGGTCTGCATGTCCCCCAAGTTGCATCTGGTGATATCTAAAGATGTTTTTGATTGTCACCACTTGAGGGTGGGGCAATGAGTGTCCTGGCATCCGGTAAGTAGAAGCTAGGGATGCTGCTCTACTCCTACCCTCCCAAAGCACATCAGGAGCGCCACGTTGAGGAACTGTTCCAGGCAATGTTAGGTCTCTACCAATGGAGGGTGACCTGGGAGAAAAGAATGTCCTTGTCTGCCTATCTCTGTCATCCTTTCTTCCTTCTTTCTCCATCCCTCCATCTTCTGTTCCCTGTCTTTTCCTTTCCTTCCCATGTAAACCCTCCCAGAGTGGCGTCAGCATTGCTAAGAACCGTGTGTGTGTGTGTGTGTGTGTGTGTGTGTGTGTAAGAATTCCTGCTTTTGCAAACACACTGAGCGAAAGGACCTACTTGCAGACCCTGAAGGCTTTCCTATGCCACAAAGAACAAATCCTGGGATATTCTCCTGTGCTTCTGACTCCTAACTGATATCTTATTTAAATGTACAATTGGAGAGAAGAGTACTATATTTACAAGGGATACTGGCAATTTTAGGAATGATGGTAGAGAATGTAATCTCTGATCTTCAGGTTTATCCCTGGGATGCCTCTGGGCTGAAGGCAAACGAGTGTCATCAAGATTTGTAGGATATGTGCTGCTCCACACTGGTCCCAATTATCATTTTGAAGTCAAAGTTTATGAATAGATGCATACAGGAGCCTGTCAAAAGGGACTGAAAAGCTTCTTAGAGGTTTAAATCAGCAAGCATCTTCAGGCAAACTAGAAGCAGGCCAAGGAATCAAATCTTAAATGTAAGGCAGGCATAGAAAATTCTTTAAGTTTTTAAAGCACTGAAGGAATAAGAATCCAATTTTAGTTGTGCATTCTCTGTTGTGAGACAGGCATTAAGAAGAACTACCTGGTGGAATTATTCCAGCATTTTAGCTGGAAGACAGCTTACAAAGGAGCACTGCTCCATGCCCTCAGGCTTTTGAGTAAGATTCATACATTCAGCCATCCCTTCATTAAGCAAAATGAGGAAAAACTGGACCCCACCAATAAGGTGGAAATACATCCCATTCACATAATCAAATGTTGAAAACATCAGCTAGATTTGATGCTGTCCCTTGGGGGACCAACACCAGTCTTTGAAATATCCTGATAGAGTGGCTCAGCAGCAATTTATGGACATATAGGCTGAAGATAGCAAGGCTCATAGTTTCAACTTCCCAGCTGTGAATGCTTGTGAATGAAGACGATGTGTGACCCATGCCACGTTGGCTGGTGTTCAGCTGCTCTGTAACAAAGCTTCAATGGTGACTCTTACGTTCCTTTCCTAAGCAAGGGTGCTGGTGAACTTGGAGGAATGACTTGTCTTAGATGGTATGAGTGGTCTCACAGTCTCAGGGCATGTTTCCTGCAGAAGTCAGAATGGCTGGTGGCTTCTGTGGAGCTACGAACAGAACAAGTGTTACATTACACATTGCTCAGTATGAATGAGTTCCATTTCCAGACCTTCTTCTCCTCTTAGAACCAGAAAGGCTGCTGCCCTGGAATGCGCAGTTGTGCAAAGTGTGGTCTTCAAAGACAGATCCTCTCCCCACACTGCAAACACCTTAGAGCCGGGGAGTTTCACTGATTTTAAAAAATGACTGTTTCCTTATTCCTCTTTCGTAACCGTTCTCAGAATTAAGGAGGTTATGACTTAAGACACATTGCCATTGACTCTTGGATTATGGATAATGAAAGTTTAATTTTAAACAATGACAAAAATGGTTTTGGTGCAATTAGGCGACTTCCATTTCACTACTGTGTAAAGGTGAACTAAGCATGACAAAAACAATTACATTTTTAAAAGGTTACTTCAGAGTTATATTGAGTTCAGAAAGGGTTTTTGATGTTTTAAATTAGCAGGAACTCTCATGTATGCTGCATTCAAACCATTAGTGTACATCCATATTTTCCAAGTGACATCAAACTATTTTAACAATAAATTGTATTTTCAATCGTGGAAAGCTCTCTCTGGTTTCCATGGTGTGCCTGTCCATCCCTCAGAAGTCTACTGTTTTGGGGGAGCCAGGGAGTTTCTTAAGGGAGGCTGGACTTCCTGGTTCTGCTCTGTGAGTGGCCTCAGAAGGTTCCTAACATGTGTCCCCCACTCCACCTCTTTTCTGAGGCTGAGGGAGCCAGTGCTGAGAGATGACAATGCCCACACCTCTCTCTACCCCAAACCAGGTTCATCAGGTACCTCTTTTCCATGAAAAGAGAGAGGTTCAGGGAGAGAGGATTTTGGCTGACCTAGTTAGCACCCCAGCGCCCACATTATACAGAAAACACAGCTCCCAAGAGGGAAGATGCAAAACCAAACCATGCAGAAGCCTCTGTTCCAAAGGCATTCATTCTGTCGTTAGAAAAGTTTTTTTTTAAAGAACGGAATCTAATCTTTTCTCAGGGAAATAGCTTTTGGGGTAGATCTATCTGTAAGGTTCAAAAATGGATGCTCTAAATCAGATCGCGCTTTTGTTGTAAGGCTGCAGAACTTTGTGAACTCTACACTTCCTGACCCGGCCCACCGCACGCGTAGAGGTTTGCAAACCGCTTCCTCCAGTAGCAGCTCCATGCAAGCAGAGGTCCCAGTCAGGCACGCACCTACTCCCGCGCCTCCCTACTTCTCCCTTTCTCACCCCCATCTTTTCCTCCCCGACGTACCACCAATTCTCACACCCCTACAAGACCACAAAAACTGAAAAATAGCCATCCTATCTTTGGAATTAAGTGCCAGCACCACATCAATTCCAAATACCGATCGAACTCCTGCGCAGGCGCAGACCGCAAACGGGTCGGGCCCTCCTAGCGCACGCTGGGGTCAGAAGGTCGGACGTACGACCCTGGCGCGAGGATCGCCGGGAGTTGTAGTCCTGCCTCGTCTGAGAGCGTAGGCGCCCACAGTGAGCTGTACACGGCTGACCCAGAGCCTTCTGGGAGACCGAGTCCCACCGCCCGCTTCCGCATTTTCTGCGGCTCGGATCCTCCCGCGCGGGTTCGGCCCAGGTGAGCGCCCACCCTTTGCCGGTCCTTTGCTACACTGCCGAGTCGGAGCTGCAGTTCTCTGTATTTTTCTCCCAGCATTCTGGCAGGCGTCCCTGGAAAGGCCCCCTTTCGTGACCCCCGACGCCTCTCTCGCGGGAGTGCCCTCAGCAGATGCTGTGCGGCTTAGACCCTGCGTGGTCAGGGCTGGCCTGGGGTGCTCAGAAGGCTGTGGGAGCGCAGAGGCGGCGCTACTTAGCCGAGTTCAGGACCCACTTCCCAGGGCCGAGGACAGCGCTATCACGTTCAAGGAAAACTCAGGTTCTCTGCCCTAAACCCACCCGTCTCACAGGTCTTTCCCTTCTCGCTTGTCTCCCACCTCCACACGAACCTTCCAAGCGCCCAAGCCAATACTTCGGAGTTGTCCCGAATCTTGTTTCTGTCGTCCACATCCTCCCAGAACCAAGTCTGCGAATCGCACGGGCTGTATCTCCAGAATCTGACCATTTCTCCCCGCCCTCGGCCCCTACTGCCTGCACTGTGCTCCCAGTCCTCGTGGATCTGTGTAGGAGCCACCCCACCGTTCTGCCTGTTTCTGCCCTAGCCTTTTGCCACTGTTGCAGGCCAAGGGATCCCGTTGAGATATAAATCAGATCTAGTTACCCCCATAGCTTAAAACAGTCCAGTCGTCTCATCTCATTCAGAATAAAATTCAAGCTCTTCATGTTATCAACTTCCAAGGCTCCATTCCTTTGTGGTCTTCAATTATAACTTTCCGGCCAAATGAACATAGCCAGACCCTGGCCTTTGGATCCTTTGCACTTACTATCAACTCTGGAACATTCTTCCTACTTTTTCTAATTCTTGACTCAACCTGCTGGGCTCAGCTCAAAGGCTTTCTCTGACCACGCCTGCTTAAAGAACCGCCTCCCCATTCCCTCAGCTGCACCACCAAGGATAATTTCCTCACATTGCTTTTTCTTATTCGTAAAACATCTTGTTTACTCTATCCATGGTTTAGCTCTTCCATTAGGACATTTAGTGCCCACAGAACTGTGACCCCTTCTGTTTTGCTGCTATGTCCCCAGTGACTGGAGCATGTTGGCTACATAGAAGGCACTCAGTGGTATTTGCTGAATGAATGATACTGTAGCTTGAGCTGAAAGTAAAAGAACCAAGTCACCATAGCATTCAGCAAAGAATGCTCACACAATGAAATTAGCCCAAAGCGCAGGGTGGTGGTGGAAATCCCACCAGCAGTTCTTCCAGGTGAGGTTGGTGAGGGTAAGGGATGAAGGGCCACAATGGACCTGAAACACCCAAAGCAGGGTTGTAGCAGGGGTGGGAGTGAATCTGATGAGGACACTAGGAGATGAACCCCAGGACTAGGTGACTGTAGGTTTAGAAGATGTGAAAGATGAGCCCAGTTCTGGTGGGGTACTGGGTGGAAGGGGCTGCTCTGGAGAGACAGAAAAACAGCTCAGTAACTTCCTGCCTTGGGTGGCAGTGGCAGGTCAGTTTGGGCACTGAAAAGATGTGAAAGCAGGCCAGTGGGGATCCTCATTTGGGCGTTTGGAGGACCAGGGTGGTGGGCACTGTGATTTAGAGTCACCACAAAGAGAATGAAAAGATGTGCTGGGAGGGCCATTTAGAACCCTTCCAAAAGAGATTGAGTATGAAGAGAACAGAGGGAGGACTGAGTCAAAAATAGGGAGAAAAATAATTCAGAAGGCTGTGCTCACCTGTGACAGATGTCCCAATGGTCATGACAGGTGAGTCCTGAAGGCTGCTTGCTTCAGGGAGAGGGAAGAATGCTCTGAACAGAGGAGAGAGCCGGTGCCAGCATCTGGAGGCAGGCGTGTTCCTATAGAGACCAGTGTGGCAGAAATGACAGTGAGAGGAGGTGGACGCTGTTCAGAGAAGAGGTCAGAGTTCCTACGGCCTCATAGGCAACTAACATTTACCAAAGTGAGATGAGATCCCGGAGAAGATACTGGGCAGGGTCCCACTGGCTGCTATGTGGAGAAGTGCATGTATAGAAGAGGGGAGGCAGAGGCAAGGCGTCCAGTGATGGCCCAGACTAGATCGCCAGCCCTGGAGATGGTGAGAAGTGCCTGGCTTCTGGATTTGTTTTGAAGCTACAGACAAACAGAATTTGAGTATACTCCATCCTCAGTGGGGCTTTTAAAGTTAAGATGAGCGCTGACGGAGGGAGACAAGCGTGGTCCTGGTCCTCAAGGCTTCTGGCCTGAGCCCTTTACTGCAGGAGAAACCTCTTCGCTTAAAGGAATTGGGAATTTGGGATTTGAGATACCCATTAGATAGCTGAGTGGCACTGGTCCCTGGCCTCATGGTACAGACACTAAAAATATAGTCATAAAGTAATTCTGAACCTTCTCGTTAATCCAAGAAAGCCTGACCTGCTCTGAATCGTTAGGGGCTACTGCAGCAGTGCAATCTGGAGATGAGCAGGGGGACTGAGCCCGGTGAGGTTTTACGAGTTCCCCAGGCAAGCAAGACCAAGGAAGGTGTGGGTGGAAGGCTGGAGCCCCAGCTGGGCGGGGAGGGATGAGGCAGGAAAGGGAATGCGAGGGGTCAAGGATGGGCTCACCTGTGTCTCCAGGAGGCTACAAAATCTTTGCATGTAAAATAGGTGCAGCCTGGGTCGGAGGCAGAGCCGCGATCCTCTGCCTCTATCTCCACAAGAGGTGATCGCCCTGCCTTTCAGAAGAGGGAAGGAGGGCCCATTTTAGCAGAGCGTCCAGCCTCCCAGAATGAATCCTATTGGTCTTTCAGGTTTATCCTCCTTCCCCTGAACAGAAGCGCAGGCCCTGGCCTCCCTCTGCACTTAAGTCGCTCTTCTCCTAAGCTCTGAACTACCCACGGGTCCACAACAACCACAGCCGTCCTGTCTCTCAGATCAGGGCTGTAGCAAGGAGCTGTGCAACTGGCCCTTAAAGGCACCGCCATCCCTCTGAATGGACAGACCTAATTGTGAGTATAACCTGCTTCTCTCTTCCTCTTTCCTCCTGAAACCAACTCTTCTTCTCTCCGTGCGTAAAGGGTACAATCCAGGAAGCCTTCCCGCAGACAGCGAAACCCTTTCCGCGGAACCCGGCAGAAACCTCCAATCCCAGCTCAAGACGAAGCTCCTCCCCTTGCCCACGTGTCCTGGTCCATTCCACACAGCGACGCCATCCAGGCCTCACGCGTCACCCACTTCTCTCCCCAGGAAACGCCGTGCCCCGTGACCCCGCGATGCCCGCCCCGACCTGCGCCTCCTGCCACGCGGCCCGCGCCGCCCTCCGCCGCCCACGCTCGGGGCAGGCGCTGTGCGGACCCTGCTTCTGCGCCGCCTTCGAGGCCGAGGTGCTGCACACGGTGGTCGCGGGCCGCCTGCTGCCGCCCGGCGCCGTGGTGGCTGTGGGCGCCTCGGGCGGCAAGGACTCCACCGTGCTCGCGCACGTGCTGCGGGAGCTCGCGCCTCGCCTGGACGTCGCGCTGCGCCTCGTGGCCGTGGACGAGGGCATCGGTGGCTACCGTGACGCGGCGCTGGCGGCTGTGCGACGCCAGGCGGCGCTCTGGGAGCTGCCGCTCACCGTCGTGGCCTACGAGGACCTCTTCGGGGGCTGGACGATGGACGCCGTGGCCTGCAGCACGGCCGGCACCGGCCTCGGCCGCTCCTGCTGCACCTTCTGCGGGGTGCTGCGGCGCCGAGCGCTGGAGGAAGGGGCGCGCCTCGTGGGAGCCACGCACATCGTGACCGGTGAGCGCATGCACGGCAGAGGGAGGGCGATGGAGGAGTGCAGCCCATGCCCTTGAAGGGGCACATTCGCGGGCAGAGGGGAGGGCAGGGAAAGGAGGGTGAAGCACATGCCCAAGAACGGCGACCTCTGGCCTGACCGAAGGGGAGGAGCCTACAAAGGATGCGGATATGTGTGTGTTCCATTTTGGGGATGGAATAGGGCTGGCCTTGCAAGGCTCTGATCCTGCCATCATTTTGGTTATATACACACTGGCAAATAGAGGGATGGACGGAGTACTCTTTGGGGTCAGGACTGGTTGTCTAGTGAAAAAAAAGACATCTGTCATATTTTTAAAAATCAAAACGCTAAATTTTTAGTAGCATTCTGTGTGTCTCCCTTCACAAAGGGAGGGGTGTGAAGCAGTTTCTCCCATCTAAGGTCCTCTGTAGCTAGGCACGATGGCACATGCCAGTAGTACCAGCTGCCCCAGAGCCTGAGAAGGAGCACGAATTTGAGCCCAGCTTGAGCAACTTATGGAGACCCTGTCGCTAAAGAAATACGTGAAAGGGGTAGGGAAGTAGCTCAGTGGTGGAGCGCTTGCTGAGCATGTGCGCGCCCTTGAGTTCAATCCCAAGAGCCGCAAAAACAAATAAATACAAAAAGTAAAAATAATAAAAAAGAGAAAGAGGAAAGAGGTGCAGCAGGCGGGTGCCGAGCGCGCCCCGAGTCCTCCGGGGCAGCTGTGCGGGCTTCTGGCTGTGCCTTCCTGCGCGGCGACTGGTCGAGGGGGCGCCCTGCCGCGTTGCAGTTCACCTCACAGAAGGAGGTGGTGTTGTACGCGCACTTCCGCCGCCTCGACTACTTCTCCGAGGAGTGCGTGTACGCGCCTGAGGCCTTCCGCGGCCACGAGCGCGACCTGCTCAAGCGCCTGGAGGCGGGGCGGCCTACAGCGGCCCTGGACCTCGTGCACTCGGCTGAGCGCCTGGCGCTGGTCCCGGCCGTGCGGCCCCCGCGGCCCGGCGCCTGCTCCTGCTGCGGGGCGCTGGCCAGCCGCGCGCTCTGCCAGGCCTGGGCACTGCTGGAGGGCCTGGCCCGCGGCCGGCCCCGCCTGGCCATCGGCGAGCGCGAGCACCGAGGTGCAGGGGACGCGGAGGGGCCGCGGGGCCTCGCCCAGGCCAAAGTGAAGGCCGCCGCCGCCCTGTAGGACCCGGGACCCTGCGCGTGCCCGGGACTCCGAAGAAAGGGGAGCTGCCTCGGCCTGGCCTCCCACGCAGGCTTGGGAGGGGACGGGCCGTGACCTTGTGACCGAGACCTGCGAGGGCCGCTGCTTACTGAGCGCCGCTGTGGGGTCTGCGCAGCTTAGGGTGGCCCTGCGCTGGCATCGGGAAAGTCACCCGCAGGGTGGCGCGTGGCCTTCACAGTCGCCGTCTGGACGCCTCTGCCCGTGCTTCCCGCCCAGCAGGCTGCTCCTCGCCTCGTCCCCCACCCCACGTGGCTCCACGGCGCCCTGATGTTATGCCCCCCCCCCATCCGCATCCTTCCCCACCAGAACCTCGCCTGGCGCCTCCGTGGCTTTGGAGGCGGAGGTGGGTGAGCCTGGGCTAGTGACTAAACCCCACTGATCCTCCCTGTTCTCCTCTGAGAATGAAATCAAGTCGCTGTGGGAAGGACTCAGTGCTGTGTGACTTGGCCGATCATATTCGGGTTTGGCCACCCCAGGGCTCTTGGTTTGGGGGTTGCTGTCCAGGAGGTAGGGAAGTCCAGACCCTGACACTTCCTGCCTGACCCTTGGGAAGACTCAGGGATCTCAGACCCTCTCTGGCATTTGCTGCGCTGGCTCCCTTGTCACGAACGCCCTCCCCTCTCATCCCCCTGCTCCAGTCCGGCAGGGTCCTCCTAGAAGCTTCCCTGGCTTCTGTCCTCCCACCACATCTAGCCCTTGGTGTAGGGCTCTCCGCAACCCCAGCCCCTCAGCCCTCTCTTGACTGTGTGGCCGTCTGATGCTTCTCGGTGTTTTCTGGCCATTTGGACCGATGTCTGAGGATGCAGACCAGATCTCCCCTCGTCAGATAATACACTATCAGTCATTCAAGAAACCCTTATTCATTGTAGGGGCTTTTCTAGGTGTTGGTTAAAAAAGAAAACTCCTGGAGCCTACAGACTTGCAGGACAGAGGTAATGAATATACCATGCCAGGTGATGAGAAGTGCTGTGAATAAAAGTAAATCAGAAGAAGAAGGCAAGCATAAAATAGTGCTATTTTAGTTTGGGAAGCCAAGATGTCTTTGAGAAGGTGAGTTTTAGGCAGATACCAAAATAAAATAAAGAGATTACTAGGCTTTACAGAGAGCTTGTGACAGCAGAGACCATGAGACACACATACCTATACAAGACAATCTGAAGACATTGAAGAACTGCCAAACTGGCCAGTATCCCAAAGAAAGGAGCATCTTACTCGTTTTTTTTTTTTTTTGGAGACAGGGTCTCCCTATGTAGTCCAGGCAGTGAACTTGCCGTGATCCTCCTGCCTCTGCCTCCCAAGTACTGGGATTACAGGCCAGAGAATCTTATTCTATTGGAGGAGCCATGAGACCAAGGAAGCAAGCAGGAAGCATAGGCTAAGAGGTGGGAACCTAAACTGAGGTTTCAGCTGTGTCGTGGGTGGGACAGGAGACAGAAGTCCGGAGCTAGCAAAGAAGACAGGATGTAGGGACCAAAATCTTGGAGGAAAGGGAGGAACACCGTGGTGACCTCAGCATTATGCTTAGACTTTCCCCTTGGCAATCTCCTGAAATTTGGTAAGTAAAATTTGACGTTTAGAGACCTTAGACCACAAATAGGGGTGGAAAAGGGTGACAAATTAGAAGTAAGGGTCAACTGGAAGTAGGCCCATCCACAAAGGACCAAACCCAGTTTCAAATCCAAGCCCAGACTGGGATTGGATTGAGGGGACCTATCTATGTACTTGCAAGAAAGGGAAATGGGATATTCTGAGCCTGTCAAACCTGTTTACATTTAAACTAATTAAAATTAAGTTTAAAACTCATCTCTGTAAGTGCTGTACAGCCACACGTGACCATAATGAACAGTACAGTCCACAAAAGGTTTCCATCATCGCTGCAATGCTGTTCTAGACTGTTCCTGAACACAGAGGAAGACTCTTTGAGCTATAGCCCCAGAACATCTCTTTATTTTTTTTACACAAAATACTGTATTCAATAAAAAATTAACAAGGATGCCAGGAGGTATGACAAAATAACTGAACACCAAGAGGAAAAACAGCATGGATAGGATCACAGGTCATCCACATCTAGGAATTTTAGGTGTAGAACTTAACTCTCATGTTCAAGTGATTAGATGCTAAAGTGGAAAATTTCACAATTGAATTAGAAAACATCCAAAAAAAAAAAAAAGCAGGCAGACAGAAAGGAATAACTAGGACCAGACTTACCCTTCCACCATATACAACTATAAAATGACATACGAGGCAATTTTCTCTGCTCTGCTCCACAGGCAGCTTGTGTTCCCAGCCACCAGCCATCATGACTCCAACGACCTCAGGCCCATCACCCGCTGCTTGTTCTTGTGCTCAGTAGCTGGGCGGAGGCAGTGGCTTTCCATAGGATCCTCAGCAGACTTCCCCTTAGGTGTCTCACATTAGCAGAAGATGTGCTTAGCTCTTCAGATTTTCTCAAACTCCATCTTGTCCACCCACATCCATGTTTTAAACCTGTGAATGGTTTAGTAACACTTTTCTTTCCTTCCCTCTTCAGAACATTGCCTCTTAGCTTGCATCATGTTTGTGTTGAAGCCTAGGTCCTCCAATAAGCCCCTTACTCTCATAATTTCCTTTGACTGTGTTTCTCCAGCTGCACTCTGATGCAGTTAGAGATAATTGTAGACTCTGGGTCATAAAATCTTTCTCCAGAGCATATTTACTGTTGCTTGTAGCAGGTAGATCACTCTCATCTGATCAGGGATTGAGGCAGTTTGGAGTCTGGTTTCAATTCTCATGAAGTATCATCTATTTCCAGCCCACCTTTACTCTGTAAGTTTCCAACTTACAGAAGGATCTCATTGTTCACCAGGGACTCTTCTTTGGCAGGTCTTAAGCCACAACTTTCAGTCCTCTAGCCCCATGAGACTCATGCATGTGCTACATAGCTTCTGTCTGCTTGGAATCAATCTATTTGAAGAAAAATGCCTGAATACAGTACTTGGCTCATGTCTCATGGCACCCTACTTTTATACATTTACTGTGCACATTTTCTTTCCATGGACTCCAAACACTATCTAGCTTTTCAATTTTTTTTCTCTTTTCAAACCAATGGCCTGGAAAACCACTGTCAGAATCATGTCACCTGAAGAAGAGAGTTTGCTGAACCATCCTGATCTAGTGCCTCTGCCCTTATTTGTGTAGGATGCCACCCACCAAGGAACTCCTCCACAGCCCTTGTTTGTCCCATGACTGGCTAACCTGTCTCCAAGCCATGAGCCACACCAGAAGGTTATTTGCTCTGTGGCCTCACCAACAGTGGGAAGTGTCACCAACAGATGACTCAGGAGTCCATGCTGTCTCTGGGCCTGCGTACCCCACCCTGGTGTTCTCTTCTAGGACATTTCTGCCAGTTATATTTCTATCACTGTGACAAAATACCTGAGATAAACACCTTATAAAAAGGAAAAGTTTATTTTGGCTCATGCTTTCGGAAGTTTCAGCCCACAGTCACTTGGCCCAGTCTCTTCTAGGCCTGTGGTGAGGCAGTGCATTGTGGTGGAAGTACATGGTAGAGTAAAGATGCTCACCTCAGGGAAGCCAGGAAACAAAGAGAAAGCAAGAAAGAGGAAGGGGCTGGGAACAAAATATTCCCAAGAACACGCCCCCAGTGACAGACTTCTCTTACTAGGCCCTACCACCTATTTTTCACCACCTCTCAATAACCCGTTAGGTTATGAATCTGTAAATAGATTAATATGAGTTCAGAGCCACCAGGATCTGATCACTTCTGAAGGCTGCATCTCTGAACACTGCTGCACTGGAGATCAAGTCTTCAACAATGAGCTTTTTTTTTTTTTTTTTTGGTACCGGGGATTGAACTTGGGTCCGTGCACTTGTGCAGCAGGTGGCGAAACCACTGAGCTAAATCCCTGGCCCTACAATGAGCTTTTGGGGAACACTGAAGGTGCAAACTCTTAACATCTGCCGTGCTCAAGGAAAACCTAGGTGTCTCTGTGTTCCTCATCGGGAGCATCTTTTACGCTTGAGATGGAGGTCTTGGGAGAGGTGGGTTTGCCCTAGTCTTCTCTCATAGTGTAGACTGTTAGGTGTGGTCACTGGATTATCCAGACGAGGATGGCTCCTTCTGAGAATCAGCAATCGTGGACTGGATCTGAATCCATGTGGGGGATCCTGACGGGGAACGTCCAAGGAACAGGGTGCATGGAGTGTTCTCATCACCACCACAAGGAGTGTGTGTTTGGGCACAGTGTCTCAGGGTGGCCCATTGCCAGTAGAAGTTGTAGGACATCCTACCTCCTGGATAGGTCCAGTATAGGGACAGCAGGATCCCTTTGTCCCCAGACTCCAGGTTCTTAGGATGTGAATGTCAGGTACTTAGGTCAGCAGTGGAGGAGATGGAGGACCTAAAATACAGAGGCGGGCATGGCCCTAGGAGTGGCCTCTGCACAGCCTTGAGCTGGCCCCTTCCACTTGCCCTCCATGCCCCCTGTCAGCCCCAGCCCCTGGATGAGGCTCCTCCCTACCTGTCACATGCACACAGTGCATCTTTTATTTGTAATAGCACCTCACAAGAAGTCTTCCCACAAAGGAAAAATGTTCTCTTCCCCCATCCTGGCATCCTTGGTGCTGGTGGAGCAGCTGGTGGTCTGGAGGTTTCTCCGGAGGTGGCCAGGGCCCTTGGCTCTCTTCCTGCATCTCTTGGCCTGGTCTGTGTGTAGAGATAAGGGGGCTATGGTATATGTTGACCCCATCCACAAATCAAGAGATACAATTTTAGAATTGACACAGATGTTTTAGGATGAGAGGTCAGAGGATGAGAGGCAGTTTTTCCTACAGTGTATCTCCAGTTCTCATGTCTGCAGCCCCTACCATGCATGTTCCTCCATGTAGCACCCCAAAATGAACACTTAGGACCCCCTACACACTCACAGAAGGAAAAGGAGTAGGATTTGGAGTAAGCAAGT